GTGTCTTTTTCACTTACCCTGGCTAAACTCTGTTCTCTTCTGACTGGAGAAAAAGTTTTGCTGCTCCCCCCTTCCAAACGCTGCTGGGTGGCGGGAGCTCTGGTCTGCATTTTCTCACTGGATGGGAGTCGGAAAAGCACCAGGCACCCACACACTTCCGGACATGTGGAGTCCACCAGCATCACTTACAGTTCTTTGCAGATGACAGAAAAGTATTCTTTAAAGCACTGACCTGTTAGCAAGTGTTGTCACTTTTGATGGGGTGGAATGTGTGCATCTGCCTAGCGTGCACACCGCACCCCCCCACACGGCTCCGCAGCTCACCCCCTTAGAGTTCCTAACAGCCTCCAGGGGAACCATGTTAAAACAGCGCAATTAACTAGAACTGCTACAAACTCAATAGCTCACCTACCTAATGAAGCAATACAAGGGAAATTGGACCTATTTTAATAAGAATTTTTAAAGAGACAAGAAGTAAAGGTCAAATGCCATTTCTGGATCCCAGCTCTTTTCTTCTTCCCTCCCATTCTGAAGCTGTTAATACCAAACAGACTACGCATACCGTGCTAATCCTTATAAAACCAAGGAGGCAGCCCATCATGCTATTATACCCAAGGGCAAATTTTTTCTTTCTAACCCATCCCCCCAAGCTAAGTGCCTCCCCTGATCTATTCCTGAAGGTTTTATTATGCAAACCTGAAAGGATTTCAATTACAATAATTCTTGTCCTTCTCCAGCCCAACTCACAGAAGCGGAACTAAATTACCAGCAATTCTAGGGCTTAAGGGTGGTTTTGCTTCTTACCTTCTCTCTAGAGTCACCTTAATCTAGAGATTCTCTTCCCATAACCCCTTCCGTCGGCTTGGGGAACACAGCTGTTTTACCCCACCCCACTAGTAAGCGCATCCGGACGTCTGATGGATTGGCTCCTTGAGAATCCGCCTGTCCATCTCCCACCCGCTCTCCTGGAGCCATTACACAGCAGGCAGTAAAATCCACTCATCCTCACGCTCCTTCCCACGCCAGCCAGGTGTGGGCCACCAGGCTTCCCAGTGACCTCTCAGGGGGATGGGTGCTGGGGGGTGGGGGTGGGGGGCAAAGGCAGAACCGGAGGCAGGTTTTAAGGGTGAGACCCCATACTTCTTACTCTGCCACTTCATTCTGGGGTCTACACTAAGTTTATGTGTGTCACCTCACCGGACCCCCACAAATACCCCATGTGGTGGATCCAGCATTTCACAGATGGGGCAACTAAAGCTCAGCGGGGTTAGGGAAATGGCGTGGTTGCTAAGCAGTGGCTCCCTCTGTACCACGCCAGGCGCCACTGCTGCCCTAAGAGTCTGGGAAAGGTGCAGAGAGGTGCTGAGTGAGGAGGCTGGACCAGGATGAACATAAAGCAGCTAACTCTCACATGTGACAAGCCTCTGGGGTGTGACCGGAAAGGGAGGAGCACAGGGCAGCCCTCCAGAGGCTCTGGCTCACAAGCTGATGCCCAGCCTGTAGTGCTTAATTAGGAGTGGCTGGTTTATCAAAAGAAGCTTGTCACAGGGTGGCCTCACTTATATAAGGACGTTCTATCCAGAACATGTGTTAATCCTAAGAATAAAACTTATTTTACCAGAAAAAATGAGTTTATTCAGAAATAGTAGAGAATTACAATTCAAGCCAATCGAGCTATGGCAAAACTACAGGCAAGTCCAGAGAACAGAGGAGGAATGCTCCTTTATGGGGGCAGAAGGGGGACTCCGAGGGGCTGTTATAAACCAAAAGTCCACCAGAATAAAATAGGAGTTTGAAATGTAGTGGCTTTTCAGTGACTGGGCTCCTGCTGGGCAAGGAGAAAATCTTTCTTCCTCCTGATGGGGTAGTAACAACGTACAGGCTGTCGTCCTGTGGGGAGCGCAAGACAGGTCTCTTCCTGTTGGGGGCCGCCGTTGATGAGGACTGAGGGGCTGTGGGAGCCTCACTCCATTTTAAATGAGATTTTCGTTATTCGATTTCAGACATGGCTCGTAAGGCCACGGCTCTAAAGGGGAGCTTCCGCCATAATTTCAAAACCAATGAAACAAAGTAAAGCCCATGGCTAGCAACTCATTTGCTCTTACATCCAAATAAGGTGGGTGACAGACCACTCAGCAGGTGTATGACCATCAACCTAGTGAAGTCCACTGCACGGCCTTCCACGTTGCCGGGTTCTGGGAGAGCCCAAACTTCCAGGTCTGTTCTTACTGATGAGCCCATTGGGAGAAGCGGTTGTTCATTCACGCGGTTGTTCATTCAGGCTCAGCTCTGGCACCCAGAGCTGGCAAGGCCAATGGTTCCATAACCTTAGGGCTATGAAGGCACAGTCCTGGGACCAAGACTCCATGTAGCAGGAAGCTCAATTCTCATCTAGGGGCTCATCATATGCTTCTCTGGGAAAGTGACCTCAAAATTAAGGGCCTGGAGCATGACTAAAAGGTATCCAGATGCACAGGCCAGAGAAAACTGTTGCAGATGGAGGGAAGAGGACAGTAGAAGCCTGGGGGCAAGAATGAGCTGGGCCTGTCTGCAAATACTTACCGCTGGCGGTCCGAGGCTGCTGTGTTCTAGCTCACCACACAGACCGGCCCACTTGCATCAGGAGGGCCAGCACAGGGAGACGAGCCCAGAGGACAGGACAGGACAAAGAAACCTTGCCCGATGTGCACCTGTCCTGCCTCTATTCTCACACTCCCATCGGGGCTCGGGGGCCAGTTTGCCGGAAGCAGCAGCAGCTAGCAGGGGCGGGAGGGGGCCCAGGCCTGCGTTTTCTCCTTGGGACTCACTTCCTCTCTCTGGGTGCTGGTGTATTCAGAATGCAGAGTTCATCCTCACCAGCCATTACTGTCCAAAACATGCCTTCCAGGAGCTGTGGTGCCAAGCCATTGCCCTCACTAATATAATGTTATCACATTTCTAATGCGGGTACTCTAAAGCAAATGTACTGTTACCAGCACGCCACTGGGCACATTTTTCAGAAGGAAAACAGCTGCTCACTGAATCTGTCACTCTTGCTCTTCTCAGTACCATGCACCCAGAGTGAGAGCCTGCTAAGGCTCCTTCCCTGCCCTTTTTTTTTTTTTTAATTTTTTTAAATGTTTATTTATTTTTGAGAGAGAGAGAGAGAGCATGAGCAAGCGGGAGAAGGGCAGAGAGAGAAGGAGACAGAATCTGAAGCAGGCCCCAGGCTCTGAGCTGTCAGCACAGAGCCCGATCCGGGTCTCGAACTCACGAACTGCAAGATCATGACCTGAGGGAAAGTTGGACGCTTAACCGACAGAGCCACTCAGGCGCCCCTTTCCCTGCACTTTCCTCAAGCATATGCTCAAGGCGCAGCATCGGGTCTCCGCAGAGCCCAGCAGGCCAGCCACGGCATGGTTCCGAGGACTTTTCTGGATCACAGGACAGAGCCTGGGCAGCTAGAGTCTGTGCCTCAGAACCTTAAGCTACAGACACAGAGCTTCCAGTTCACTAGGCTGGTTTCCTCGTTTTATAGACCAGAAGGGAAAATGCAGTCCAGAGAAGTTAAGTAAAAGGTCGGATGTTACACAGCCAGTGCGCTGTGGAATCACGGGTTGGTTCCTGTCTCAGCTGATCTACTTCGTAGGCTGTGAGGCCTAAACAAGGCAGCCCTCACCCAGCAATGCCAGAAACATGGGAGGGGTTCAGTGAGAGGTCAGTCTCTGAGTTCAGTAAGGTGACCGACTGCCAAACTTTGTCTCTTAGATCTCCAAAACAACCCATTCTCTTTCCCGGGGCCACATTTTGCTGAATTCCTTCCCACTGAGGAAAGAAATCAGACCGGCAGTGGGGTTAATGTGTTCACGGCTGGTCTCTGGCCACCAAGTGAGAGGAAGTGAACCAAACTCCCTCCTTGTTCTCAGATCTCTGGTCCCGTTCCTTGCCCTGTCAGATCCACCCCCGCCAGGCTTTCTGTTGTCTCTGGAGAGCTGATGTGATCAGAGAGGACACCGCTGCCGCTGGAAGTGACCACTGAAGGGAGTCATGTCACCTTCCCTTTAGCCACTCGGAGTTGGCAGAGACTAAGCCAAGTTCATTTGAGAAGGGACGGACAGGAACTCTCAGGCTTTCATCTAGGAGGGAGAGGAGTGCAAAAGGTCCTGTAGAGGCCACAATTCTCTCAATCACTGACCGAAAACTCCCTCAAACCACAGGACAGATGTGGACTTCTGACAAGACAACTAAATTGGCCAATCCGCTCAGGCGCTTCTCCTCTCTCGCCCACACCAGCTCCTCGGCCCCCTCTCGGCCACCCCCCCACCCACACTTTAAAATAACCATCCAACCATGTAAATTCCCTGGTGCAAGTGTCTGTTAGTCTCCAGCAGAGCTGTCAATGCTCATAAATCCCCGGCCTTCCAGACTGCACTGCGGCCATTTCCTGGGGGGAGAGGTGCAGCAGGCCACTAGACAATAGCAGGGAGAGATTGGCCGAGCGGTAACTACTCTGGTTACAGCATCGCAATTCATGGCAGCATTTGGCTGGGAGTGTGCATCATCGGGGAGGAGAAACATAAAAAGGGGAGCCTGGGCCGTAAATAGTTTATTTCGGCAATTCCTGACGTTGGCTGAATCATACCTTAATACAGAAATACACGAAGGCACCACTCTGGAGGTGACATGTGTTGCCACCTCATTACTCTTTTCAAAAGGGTCTTCCATCAGAGAGACACCTCGCTACAAATTATAGTGAAGAAAACAAAAGCCTCACGCACAGACTTATTAATAGGCCAGAAGGAAATGGAACCCCTAGGATTTTAGGAAGCAGGGAACCAATGCAACAGAAGCCATCAGTGATCTGGAGTCTCTGGGTGGCGTTTCCACACAGAGAAAACAGGACGAAAAGAAAAAGGTCGCACTCTTCTGCCGAAGAGTCTGCTCCTCGACGGCACGGCGCTCTCATTTCCCCCATTCCTCCTAAGTACCTACGGTAGGCGAGCTTCTCCAGGGAACCCTACCTTCATGTTCCTTCTCGGTGGTTCCCACTTTCTTGATCTTCCTGGGAGATTTCATAAAGAGGGGAAAGATGGTTCGTAAGCCAAGAATATCAACAAACTTGTGGCAATTGTCCGTGCCCTCAGGTCCGATCATGGCATGGTCCAGCACTTTTAGGGCACTGCTCCGGGAGATCTTCTTTTCTCTGGGAACAAAAGAGGGTTTGCATAAGGCATTTCATGGGAATGTTCTAGTCTCAGAAAAAAAAAAAAAAATGGTGGGGGGGATACTGCACTACCCATTATAAAGGGGGGAAAAAGAAAGAAAAAGCAACTTAAATGTCCACCAATGAGAAAATTGCTGCATAATGGTAGATCTACACAGAATATTACACACTTATTCATAATTTAAAAAGTCTATAATAGAATGAACGAGTTCTTATGGTCAGAATGATAAGCACAAAAGGTAATATTCAAAATTCTATATGAGGCATTACCTCAATTATGTGAAAAATATGCATTAAAAAAGACTAGAAAGAAATAGATCAAAATGCTAACAGAGGTTATTTCAGGGTGGTAGGATTATGAATCACATTATTCCTTTTTCTTTCTTTTTAACAGCTTTATCAAAATATACTTCATATACCATACAATCCACCCATTTAAAATGCACAATTCAATGAACTTTAGTATATTCACAGATACGTGCAACTATCACTAAAGTCAATTAAAGAATATTTTTATTATCCCGACATGAAGACCCCTACTTTTTAGCTGTCACCCCCTACCCTCCCCATCCTACCCCAGCAACCACTGACCCATGTTCCGTCTCTATGGCTTTGCCCATTCTGGACATTTCAAGTAAATGGTATTATGCAATATGTGGTCTTTTGTTACTGGTTTCCTTCCCTCAGCATCATGTTTTCAAGACTCATCCATGCTCTAGCAGGTGCCAGTATTTCATTCTTTTCTGTGGCAGAATAGTCCATTGTATGGATGGGCCACAATTTGTCTCTCTCTTCATCCACCGATGAACATTTGATGGGTTTATGAATAGTGCTGCTCAAATATTCATGTACAAGTTTCTGAGTGGACGTGTACGTTTCATTCCTCTTGGGTGACTGTATACCTAGCAGTGGAGCTCGTGGGGCATCTGCTAACTCTATGCTTAACCTTCTGAGGAACCATCAGACTTCTTTCCAAACTGGCTGCACCGTTTGACATTCTCCCCAGGAGTGTGTAAGTGTTCTGACTTCTCCACACCCTTACTAACACTTGTCAGCTGACATGCTGGTGCCAGCCATCCTTATTGGGTGAGAAATGGTATCTCATGGTGGTCTGAATTTGCATTTCCCTGATAACTAATGCTGTCAAGCATCTTTTCATGTGCTTATTGGGCATCTGTGTATCTTCTTCAGAGAAATGTCTATTCAGATCCTTTGACCATTTTTAAATTAGCTTAATTATCTTTATTATTTCGTTCTAAGAGCTCTTTATTCTGCAGATACAAGTCCCTTAACAGATACATGATTTGTAAGCATCTTCTCCTGTTCTCGGGGTTGCCTTTTCAACTTTCTTGATGGCATCCTCTGAAGCACACACATTTCTAATTTTGAGGATGTCCAACTTAACTGGTTCTTTTGCTGCTGTTGTTACCTGCACTTTCGGTGTCCCAGCTAATCCCATGTCAAGAAGATTTACACCTATGTTTGCTTCTAAGAGTTTAACAGTTTAAGTTCTTTTTTTTTTTTAATTTTTAAAAAATGTTTTATTTATTTTTGAGAGAGAGATAGAGACACCATGAGCAGGAGAGGGTCAGAGAGAGAGGGAGACACAGAATCTGAAGACAGGCTCCAGGCTCTGAGCTGTCAGCACAGAACCTCACGCGAACCATGAGATCATGACCTGAGCTGAAGTCGGACACTTAATCAACTGAGCTACTCAGGCGCCCCTTAACAGTTTAAGTTCTGATATTCAGTTCTTCCACTCGTTTTCAGTTAATTTCTGTATATAGTGTAAAGTAATGCTACAACTTCATTTACATGTGGATATCCAATCACCCCGGCACCCTTTGTTGAAGATTATTCTTTCCCCGGTCATGTTCTTGGCATTCTTGTTGCATATCATCTGACCACAGCCACAGTTTTATTTCTGGATTCTCAATTATATCCTGTTAATTTATTCCAGCAACATACTGTCTTGATTACCACTGCTTTCTAGTAACTTTTGAAATTGGCAATCCTACATTGTTCTTAGTTTTTCAAGACTGTTTGGCTATTCTAGGTCCCTTACAATCGATTCCACATGAATTTTAGGATCAGCTTATCAATTTCTACAATGAAGTCAGCTGGCATTTTGATAGGGATCATGCTGGATCCATAGATCTTTGGGGGAGGACTGCCATCCTCCATTTCTTAGCTCTTCTCTAATTTCTTTCAACAACGTTTTGTAGTTTTCAGGGTATAAATTTTGAACTTCTTTTGTTAAATGTATTCCTAGGTATCATACCCTTGATGCTGGTGTAAATGGAAGTCTCTTCACAGTCTCATTTTTTGGATTATTCATTGTAAGAGTACAGAAATAGGACTGATTTTTGTAACCTAATCTTTATAGTATTCTGCAACCTTGTTGAACTCACTTATTAGTTCTAACAATGTTCTGGTGGCTTCTTTAGGATCGTCTACGGACAAGATAACGTCATTTGCAAACAGACAGTTTTACTTCCTCCTTTCCAATCTGGATGCCTTTTATTTCTTTTCCTTACCTAACACCCTGGCTGGAACCTCCAGTCCAATGCTGAATGTACCTGGTGAAGTGGTGTCTGGTTGCTGATCTGGGCTCATCTTTTACCACTAAGTGTGATGTTGGCTATGGGTTTTTTGTAGCTGCTCCATATCAAAGGTGGAATAAATTCCTTTCTATTCCTAGTTTAGGTATTTTTATCATGACAGATATTAGGTTTTGCCAAATGCTTTTTGCATCTTATTATTTCTGTTTCTATTTTTCATGTTTCTTTCAGTTTTCCATAATGAATGTGCATTACTTTGAGAATTACGGGCATTAAATTATTTTCAAGGAAAAATACAAATGATTCTCCCCCTCAAGTCCAAAGGTCATAAAATAATTATGCCACTGTCTACTGCTCTTGCAAATAGCTTTCTAAGGAGTATAATTTTCTATAACCTTACAGTGTTTTCTTTAACACTCTATGAGATCGAGAGCAATAAGTCAGTCATTTCATATCTTGGTACACCTGGTAAATCAACCAACCAATCCAATATTCAATATTTACTGAGCACTTACTTAGTACTGTGATAGACATAAGAGAAAAACAAAAATTAAGACACGGCTTCTGCTTTCAAAAACATGTAAATCTATTTAGGGAGACTAAATTAATATGAAATAATCAGGTAAAAGTATAAGTCAGCAAATAACTTTTCCCCCCAATCTACGAACATTTACTGGAAACGTCTCATGTGACCAGGACAGATCGAGTCCAAGTCCTCATGGAGCTGACATTCTTACTGCAGGACATACGGAAAATTGAGGCACTTAATAGTGTTAAGTGTCGTGGAAATAATGCACTGTAGAAGAATGAATGAATGGAGAGGATATTTTGAGTTAGGTTACTAAAGAAAGCCTCATTAGGGGTAACATTTATATTGAGATCTGAGTGTTGAGATGAATTGGTCTTGTACGTTTTACAGGCAAAAACATGAAAGGCAGAAGGAACAGGAAGTTCAAAGGCCCTAAGGTGGAAATGGGTTGGCATGGGCAAAGAACAGACAGAGACGGGCATTTCTGAAGCATAAAGGAACAGTATTCCTGGCTCAGATCTGAGGGGAAACATGGGCTACATCAAAGGCCATGCCATCTTGTCCTATATGACACAATAAGGCCTCCGAGTAAAGAGCTGGCTCTAGGAGTTAAGACAATAGAATTCACCATGTTTGTTCTGAGACTGTTATGTGTTAGTTACTTTAGAAGGAGAGAGAAATTATGTATATTTGGGGGATTATAAGAAAAGGTAGATATGTATGTAAATATTTGAAAGCAGGTGAGAGAGTAAGAGGGATGACTGTGGGTTATTCCTAGTACAGGCTGGAGAAGGAAGTCCATCAGCTTCAGGGGAAAACAAGGGTAAAATTTTAAAAAATCATTACTTTTAAGAACATGGACAGTTCAGTCATGTTTTTAAGGTGTCAAGAAGCCAATGGTGATGAGGATACTAAAGATATAAAAGGGAAGGATGGACAGATGGAGTCAGGTGAGAGGAGGCAAGGCCGGACCAAAAAGGTGGTATTAACATAACCCAAAGCCCTTCACCCAGTTTCTCGCCTGAAAGCCAAAGAAAAGGAATCAGAAAGAACCTCCCTTGATAGTCTTTTGCAGAGGAAACACTATTAAGACATTGCATTGTTGGGGCACCTGGGTGGCTCAGTTGGTTAAGCATTCGACTTCAGCTCAGGTCATGATCTCACAGATTGTGAGTTTGAGCCCCACGTCAGGCTCTGTGCTGACAGCTCAGAGCCTGGAGCCTGCTTCAGATCCCCTGTCTCCCTCTGTCTCTGCCCCTTCCCCACTCATACACTGTCTCTCTCTCCTTCAAAAATAAATAAACATTAAAAAAAAAAAAAGACATTGCATTATTTAAGGGCTAATGATGACAGAGCATGCCTATCCTAGGTCAGACCAGCCAGACAACTTGGGGCCCATTGAGTTCAGAGAAGGAGAGTGGGTAAAAAGCTTGTTGATGGAGGCCCTTGGGGCTGGCCCATCCTGGCTCACCTGAGACTGTTCCATTTCTAGCACTGACGGCACTCCATCCCGGGAAACCTCTCCATCCCAGGCAACCCAAGACGGCCGGACATCTTACTTGGTGCTACCTCAAAAGACTACAGTGTACTGTGGTACATTTCACATTCAGCACCACTACTGAGTTTAAAAGAAAATGGTTACTACTGAGGATGTGCCTTCACGCAGCAGGCATGGCACTAGCTGCTAAGAATGACACGCTCCTTGTCTTTAAGCAATGTCGGGACACTTAAATAAAAATAATTTCAAAAGCCCAAAGCAGTAGAAATTAAGTCCCAGGAGGTGCAAGGTGGAGATAATTAATTTCATCTGGGAGAAGTCAGGGGAGGTGTCAAACGGACAGTAACATCTGAACTGAGTCTGAAGAGGGAGCGTTTGCCGGGCGGAGAGG